TACAATAAAAATTGGTACTGTTTTTCCATCGGAATTATAAGATCTGCCATAATTTAAGGCTTCTGCCAAAATATGTCGGAAAAATATTAAGATGTACGTGTGCTGCACCGATGTGAAAAAATATCCAAAACTCGGTTTTTATATATAAAATGAACCTTTAAAAAAGTTTTTCAAAACATCACCTCAGATGATGGAAGAGCTTAAAAGCTCGGCATAAAAATGTTTACAAATTTTATAAATGGAATCAAAATAATGAGATTGTTGCAGGCATTTTCAAATCGGTACAGCTCACGCAAATCTTAATATTTTCCAAAATATTTCGGCGGAAACTGTAAAATATATTATACCTTATAATTTCGGCGGAGAAACATCCACTTTTTCTAAGAAACTCCCTATTATTTATATATTATACATATGAATTAACAAATACCCGTCCCGCTTCGCGTCGACCGAAATCTACTTTCCGCTGTTGCTAAGGCAAGTATAGCGTTAGAGACCTTACAAAAATCGACCACTCCATGCACGCTTGTAAGGGCTACTCCAAAATTAACCGAAATGCATATTAAAAAAATGTTTAGCTATTAACATTACGATGTCCTAGGGCAGGACCATATACTCCAGCTCGGCATTATATTAGAGTATCACAAAAGAACTCCATGGAGTAATCCCTCTACATCTCGGCAACATAGCCGAATAAACATCGTGGAGTGATTACGATCGCTACAACAATCAAAGATCAATGATCGGGTAACATAAGCTGGTGTAGGGACACGAGTTGCTCCGCTACTGCATTACAGAGGAACGTTTTTAAGTACTCCAATATAGCACAAATGCACAACATTTTCCAGCGAATTTTGCAGGGGAATAATATTAAATGCTTATAATCAGTACAATATTTTGCTTTGCTAAGATTCAGTGGCATTATTTGTAAAAAAAACTGCTCTCTTACATACATTCCAAAAATTTCAAAGGTAAATTGCCTTACCTCATAGGGACTATGGTTTCACCAAACATGTTGTTGTACCACAAAATTGCACGTTTTTTTCGTCAGTGAATAAGTTAGTATTGTTTGATAAAAATTATTAAAATGCGTACAAAAGCTGAATGATATACATACATAGAACATAAGAAACCATCAAGATCGAACTGAATATTACACCGAAAATGTGTATACAGAACTAGCCGATATGCGGAAAAACACAGAAGAAAACTTTAAAAGTATATTCAAATTAGCTGAGGAAAAAGCCAATTAGGTTGGTTTTATCTTAGAAGTACCACGGCGAAAGGGACGCCAAGTATATCATGCAAATTACGACGGAAGCGCAGAAACCTTTTTCCGTTGCTCAATTTTTATTCCCATACTTAATCATTATTTGGATCAAATAAATGTCAGATTTGTTAACTATAAAAAACTACTACAAAAAAAAAACACGAGTGCAGTGCACACCCGGTAGAAGTGAAACCTTAATAAAATTAAACGAGAGAATGAGATGAATGCGTTTGTTTGTTATAATATTATTACGCAATTGGTAAATTCTTATAATTTTTCGTTTTCAATTTTAAAATTTTTTAGTTTTTAATTTTCTTACTTAGACTCATGTTCAAATTTCTACAAAAGAGACGAGTTGAGATGTGATCAATATATCTTTGAAATAGACTATGAATATTTGTTTTTGATCGTGTTGTCGATTCGGTGCGACTGCTGGACATTTTTCAATTTAACTGTTCGCTCATGGTCCAATCTGCTTTCACAAGCACATATTTCTCCCTCCTTAGAAATTTGAACAGACATTCAGCCCAATTTTTGATACTCCCGAGGAGTTTTTTCTCCGGGAATCTGTTTCTCCCGGAAAATAAATCCTACAATAATTAACTACCAGGAGTAGAATTTACCCCGAAAACTTGGGAGGGGAAATTCGAACTTCGAAGAAGCGGTTTGACACTTTTTTGAGAGCTCAACTAAGCCATTTAATATAAAAAGTCCTCATTATTCATGATAGGAGAAAAGGGAAAAGAGAGAAAACTCCCAGGGAGTTTGTGTTCATAATCAGCCTGATTGATTGCAGTTGTTGTGCATTGAGTTCTATTTGAGGAGTAACAATTAGAGTCCGACCGATTAATCGGCATCGGCATCGGCATCGGCAAGTATCGGCACAAAATTTAGCATCGGCATCGGCATCGGCATCGGCACTTTTTTGCCGATTCTTTGCCGATTCTTTTCCGATTATTTGAAATTGCTTTTCATATGGACTTTATACTTTATTTCAGTTGAATACCCTTTATCTTGTCTCAAAAATTTTTCATTTGAATTGTCCTGTAAAAGTTGTGTTTCTTTCTCACATTTTGTTCTGATTATTCTCTTTTGTTTTTCGTATGTACATATATGTTGACGTTTGATTTTTCAATAGATATTGGCCATAAATTCGCGCTTTTTGTAATTCCTGGTAACTAAGTGCAATTTATTATCAGTTAAATCTTACAAACTTTTATGTTTTTTAGGAATAATGGCTCAGGCAAACCCTATTTGGAAGTTTTTCCAAAGAAATTCGAGCACAGCAAAGTGTGAAATATGTTCAAAGGCAATATCTCTTGGTAACGTAAATAAGAGGCGACAAACAACAGCCAACATCAAAAAACATTTGCAGACAGCTCACAAAAATGAGTGGAAAATTTACCTTAAAGAGCAGGATGAATTTTTAGCAGGAGTGAAAAAGCAAAAAAAAGACGGATCCAACTTCCAGCACACTCCAAGAAACGCTGCCGAGCTTACTCCAGAGGAAAAGTGGATATTGTTACCCAGACGATCATCCAGTGACCTTGCGAATCGACAAATCCATAATGGATTTAATTATTGTCGATATGCTGCCCTACAATATAGTTGAAGGTAATGCGTTTAATAGGTTAAACATTTGTGATCCAAGCGGCGATAGCAGATATCGCAAAAAGAGCGAAAAGTTTTTCCGGACTACGTTGATGCCAGCAACCTACGATAAGATAAAGCACAAAGTTACTTATCTCATAGCAAATGCGGAATGGATCAGTTTCACAACTGATATTTGGAGCAACTCCACCAAATCATGCTCCTTGCTCAGTTTTACAGCACATTTCATAGAAGGGCCTCGTAGGCTAAAAGTTATTTTGGCAGCTAGCGTTCTGGAAACTGATCATACCGCTCAAAATATTTTTGCTGATTTAAACAAAGTTATAGAAGAATACAACATTCGGTCAAAAATTCATTTGGCGGTAACTGACAATGCTGCAAATATGAGAGCAGCAATGAAGTTGGGTAATATTAAATGGTTTGGGTGTACGGCACATAATTTGCAACTTGTGATTCAGGACGCAATTTATAACCGGAAAAATATTCAAGATATATCACACAAATGCCGAAAAATTGTGGGACATTTTAAGAGAAGTGAGCAGGCATGTCGCTACTTAAAAAAATGCTAAGAAACGCTTGGTTTGCCTAATCATTCACTAATACAAGAGGTTGTTTGCAGATGGAATAGTACATATTTGATGTTAAGTAGATTATACGAGCAGAAGGCTGCCATTAATTTATATATAGCAGAACGTGGTTCTATAGAAATATTGTCTGTTAGTGAATGGGCGGATATATCTAATGTAATATCAGTATTAAAGCCGTTTTACCAAGCAACTCTTGATCTGTCTTATGAGTCTACGTGTGCATCTGTCATAATACCTTTAATTTCCATGATTCAAATTAAGCTCGAATCTAATGATAACGACGGTGCTGAAATTGCGATGCTAAAGGTAAATTTAAAAACGTCTTTATCGCGGCGATTCGAATTTATTAAGACAAATACAGAGTTGCTTATTTCCACACTACTTGACCCGCGTTTTAAACAAAAATATTTCTCAACCGCAGAAACTCGTAGATGTGAAACTCTATTGAAAGAACAAATAAATACAAATAAAGATTCGTTGGAAGTTTTACCAGCTGTTTCTCCCACTCGCTCCTCTGAAACAATTCACACTAACAATCTTTGGGAATCTCACGATTCTGATATATTATCTCAAGGTATTGAAGTGAAAGAAGGTATATCACAATTAAAAAAACAGCTTGATTCCTATCTTAATGAGCAACGTATTCCTCGGGATAGTAATATTTTTGAATATTGGCATCAGAGTCCATATTTTCTCTTGAAAAAAATAGCTACCAAATATATGTCAGCTCCGGCGTCAAGCGTTGCGAGTGAACAGCTTTTCAGTGCTGCGGGTCAGCTCTATAGCGATAGGCGTACCAATTTACTCGGAGAAAACGCCAATAAGCTTCTATTTTTGCATTACAATATTAAATTATTCAACTTTGACTATTAATTTAAAGACGTACATATGTATGTACATGCCTAGCATTTAAGTTCTTATGCATTGAGTGCAAGAGTGTATTTGAGTACAAACCGAAATGAAATTGTATGTTCCTATTTCTTGCTAAGCACTATAAAAAAGGGTTTTATGTAATGTACATAAATGTGATATATGTACATAATAATCTCACCCACATGTGTATGTAATATTGCATAACAAGCCAATTAATTCAATTATTTGTTTCTTTTGTTTTGTTAACTACGTTAAATAAACTGTTTTTATGAATTAATACATTTGTTTGTAATTTTTTACGGAATCGGCATCGGCCGATTCTTTCCCCATAAGCCGATTAATCGGCATCGGCATCGGTACCTGAAAAAAAACTGGAATCGGTCGGACTCTAGTAACAATACGGACTCAGCCATGTGTAATATGGTAGATAACAACTCCACCTGCTCTTGTCATTGGTATTTAAATTGAAATACTATATCAAAATTAGCAATGTGTAAAGTGTTCTCATTATCCAGCCAAGTCTCTGAAAGAATTATAAAATTCGACGATGATGCTATTGTTGAAGATCCTGTACGTGAGCACGTAAATTTTGGCAATTGAAGGTAATTAATGGCAATTCTTTCCTTGCATTATAAAATGATGTAATACTTTTTCAATTGTTTCAAGTCGAATAAAATGTAGCCTTTGAAATTCAGCTTGCAACTCAATTGTGGATACTGTTGATCTCCGGCTGTTCAAATATCTTTGAACATTAATACTTATCTGTCAAGGCAATAAAATTAAACATTAAAACATACATATGTACAAACATATGGACATATATTTAGAAAATGACTAGTTTGTCTACACATAGAACACAAGCAACAAAATATACTTTCCTACACACAAAAAATATAATACAGTCCAGATAAGTCAAATAATGCATTTTCGCTGCGATCTTTTTGCTTAGGTACGAATGAATTAGGCCAAGGGTTCCCAAACTTTTTTCCCCTCGGCACTCTTGTTGTGCTAAAAAAAATTCGCGGCACCCCTACTTTTCAAATGTCTACGAAAACAAGAAAACACAATGCAAACTTTATGCTCCTTTAGCTTTAATGTGAGGACTGAAATTTTTTTGACGATTTCATTATTTCCTTTAAGTTTATTGGGAGCTTTGACAATTTTACCCTGAAATCATTTGACGCCGAAAGCTTGCTGGTGTATTTGTTTTTAGCCGACTTCACATAAAGGATAAGGCTATCAATTCGTCGGACTATTTTTTTTGTTATTTTTTATATGTAATTTTCCGCATAACTTTGGACCACGTTAACCGATTACTATAATTCTTTTTTAAAGGAAAGGTGTTACCTAAAAGGTGGTCTAATTTCGTTTAAATCCGATCATTGGATCATGAATAGATTAACGATAAACTTAAATTCTTAGATGGGAATTGAAATCGGTTTTGTTTTTTTTTTTGCTTAAAAACGACTCGTTTATGTAAGTATTTGTTTATAATGCAGTCTCACATAGAAATATAAAAGCAAGGCCCCTATTATAAGTTGCATTCGACTGTGGTCGATGAGGAATAGCGCTATTGTGAATTTCGCTCGGTTAGGTTGTTTACAATAGTATATTTTTCACCGCTGAGAAGTTTTGTTTACAAATTGAGCAAACTAAATAGTGTGCTTATACATATGTATGTAAATTTGTGCAAATTAAAATGAAATAAAAAAGAAAGCGAGTTTATAAAAACGTGGTAAAAATGGTACTCAAACGGAGTTATGGTTCAACGATTCGTCAGAGGATGAGAGCTTGGTAAACTGGCTAGGAGTAGAAAATGTTTAAGAGGGTTTAAGTGTAGTCTTTCGAATATATTTAAGAAATTTGTCTACAGATTTATTAAATACTTCCGACTGTCTAAAGAGGCGTTTGTGAGCCAAATCTTTTTAAAATAATTTAAAACTATCAACAGCTTACGATTTTGTTCTCAGAGATCGTGCCAACTGAGTATTGGGATTTTCTTTCACAAGTAAAACCAGCCTTTCGAGCTTGTGTTTAATATTCATGAAATGCATGAAATTAATAAAAAAAAAATTTAAAGTTAGTATCTAGCCGCCATAAAGTAAAAAAAAAACAATGCAAAATCATATATTTTTCATAATTTTCTAACACTTCGCTACACCATCGAAAGCAAAATTCTATTCGACAGAAAATTCGATACTCAACGAAAATTTCGACACCGTTGCATAGCTCATAATTTACCTTTCGATAACCGATAACCAGCGAAGATCGAAAATCGAATGCAACTCAAAATAAAAGCCACTAGTATTTTTAATACAATCTTGCCAACAGCAGGGTTTTCTGCATACACTTGCATCCAGAACTCTATTGGCTCCCTTCGTAGTATTTACTAATCAAAGTGCTGTCTTCACTGATGTCCAGAAGGTTTTCAAGAACTTAATTGGTCATCTCAGTAGGTTTACGCTTCGGGTCACATGAAAACGGGTTTGTTATCCAGCTGAAGCCATCCTCAGAGTCAATGTTGGGAAAATATTCGACAATGGTTTTTCTAAACCTTCCAAGTTAACGCTGGTAATGCGCGTTGACGCTAAGAAAATAATTTTTACAGCCAATTTCACGAAAGCAATTTAAGTGAAAAATTATTTTAATTTTTGGAATTTTATATGGCAATTGCTGGTGAAACCGGCTGTTATCAATTTTCCTTAATGTTAACTTGGAAGTTACATACGCTTTTCTGATTACTTTGTTTATATATGGGGTTTCCATGCAAATCGCTAGAAATTTTAAAATATACATGTCACCAATAAAAAAAATCTCGACGCGCTAGAAAAAACCAGAGATGTATTTTAATTTCGCAGGCCTCTGTTATCTTCGCAGCGTCATCCAATAAGGGTTTTAAATCTAGTGTCGGCATCTTCCTAATCGCCAGGGAATACCGAGGGATCATACAGTAACTTCTCGTGGCGTTTTCTGCCTCTTGCTTCATCCTAGATATCGGTCCCTTCGTTTTTCCAACCACCGCATATATCCGCACACTTTCTCCATTTAAAACTCTGTACAAATTTGTCGTTAGCTTTAAAAATTTCGTCGCTAGTGGCGTAAGTCTGAAGTACTTCGTTCTTCTTCGATTTGCATTGCGAATGGGTACCTCACTGACATGAGAAGACTGCCTCTAAAATCGTGTTGATTCGCTCTTTGACAGTGTGATTGTGAAGTTCCAAAGAATAAGTAATATATACACGTGCGCGAAGCTGCTGCGCTTGTTACGAGAACAGCCCAGCCAGCAAAAAATCCGAAAATTAATCCAAAAAACGGGAAGAAAAGTGGATGAAACGCGGATTAGGTCTACAAAAGTACCGAAAGTGATGGTGAAAAGGGTACGTTTTCGGCTATTTTTCTGAAAATTTTCTGATTCAATTTTACGTTGACAAAACGTACTGGGGAACTACGCTTAAGAGCGAAATATCCCTTTGCTGCAAGCTATTTGTGTTGTGTATGGGGTTTGACGAGCCACTGAAGGTAATTATAATAAAATCTAAATTTTTTGATTTTCTGGCCGCCATGTTGAAGTTTGATCAAAACCGCTTGCGTTGTGTATGGAAAGTCTAAAGAATTTGTTCGCACCACTAGTATACTCTAGCCACTAGCGGCACCCCAGGCATACGCTCGCGGAACCCCAGGGTGCCGCGTCACCCACTTTGGGAAGGCCTGAATTAGGCGATGGGAATCGCTTACCCTTTCGCTTCAAGAAGGCATTATTTTAACAGGGGCATGTCATTGGCCGTAAGCCCTTACCTGCATCATTACCTTCTAATGAAGGGAGAACGCATGGATAAACAGAATCCAGAGAAACGAAAAAAGAATGCCTTACAGAGAAACTAATGTAGAATGCCTAGATAAGTACATACTTTTGTATATTAAATTTAAAACAGAAAATAAAGATTGTCTTAAAAGATTAAAATTAAATTAAATTTATATAAATCAGTTTTTATACATACATATGAATGTATTTAGGTATTTAGATCTTATTGTACGTCCTCACTCATGTACTTCACTTCATTGACTGACTTCAACTTCGCTGTAAATTAAACAAAGCGAAACATGATCAGTGTTACCGCTGAAAAATTTTCGAAAGTCGTAAAAAGTGTCGCAGCCAAAACTTGTTGGGGCATATTCATAGTCGAAATAAAATCAACTCTTAGGCTAGTTATAGCTTTTTGACATAATTTTCAATGGGAAATCTTTCAAAAAAGCTGCACGTAGCATTAGACTCGAATTTATTTCATCTACGAGTTTGACCCATTATTTTTAATAAATTGTTAATGGAGATCATTTTCTGCCAAAAATCTTTTCTTCTCTTGAAATTAAAACCTATTGATGAGGAATATATTAAAAATGCGCCACATGCATATTTTGCATTTTTTATGAAAACAAAATTGCAGTTAAAAAAGTAATTACATCAATATAACAAAAAAGCAACATTAGTAGATAACAATTATTACAACAAGTTTTAGCCTTTTAAGCTTGTATATAAATTATCGCCGATTATTTCCACGAAAATGAATTTAACACAAATAATCCCCATGTTAATGCTAAGCTACAAATTTTTGCATAATAAAATTAGTCAAAATCTTGCCAGAGATGTAATTTTTAAGCACCTTTGAAAAGTAATATTTTATGAAAAAACTGTCAAAATGTTTATATATAATTTTTAGTCAAAGAAAAGGAGCAAAAGTCGCATCATTTTTAAGAGAAGTTTCAAAATAAGCCTATTTCTAAAAAGTCTCAATTGTCAATTTGACACTTTAGTCGCAGAACGGTAACACTGAACATGACTTTTATGCGATGGAATTTTCCACAGAAAGTAACGGTAGAAAAGAATTTTTGGGTATTCATTCTGTTTTTCTGCTAACTAAGGTGAAACATTTGCACTCCCCGTAATGAATCAAAGCAGCGAAATTAATAAAATATTGTAGAACATTCTGCTATGCATAACCGGCAATGCCTAAAAGAAGCGAAAAAGTTAGAAGACATTATAAAGCAATGCGTTCTAGAACACGTTGCCACTAAAAGCGATTGCCTTTTTTTTGTTGGTGCATAAGTATAATGCAGACATACAGTTGTCTGATTACTTGTATTTACAAAAGAATGGGCTAAAAAATACAATCATGACAAACCACGTTAAGTGCCATGTAGTAAAGACAAT